TAGTTCAAAGACTTGAAAAATCACTCTATTAACTTTATTTTTTTATTTTTCAAAAAAAACTTTTCAATGGCAAGTGAATTGATCTTCCTTTGTATTGTGTAATCTTCCGCTTTTCTATACCTTCTTTTTTCTTCTTTTTTGGGTTCAACCAAATTCATCTTTTCTCTTATCTTCTCTAGTTTTCTTGCCTTATATCTTTTAGGTACTATAAATTTTGTTAAATTTAAAAGATAATCTCAAATCCATCAAACTTTCATATTTTAATGATAACAAACAAAAATTATTTATTTATTTATTTATTTTTATCTTTTTTTTAAATTAAAATATCTTTTTTCACCTATTTCTAATTTCTAAAGATATGACTCCCTTTCCAAATACATTGTGATAAAGTTATATCATTATCCTTTATCCTTTTATAGGGACAACAAACTATTTATCCTCTATACAGATCACATATGTTTTTATTTCCATTAATAACTCTAAATTTTATCGGAGAACAACAATTATTGTACAAGCTCCTTAGATTTGGGAAACTATATAAAGAGTTGAATCCAATAAAACTTGAAAAACAAATGTGAGACCAAGAAAAGGACTAGGATGAAACAATTACGAAGCAAGAAGATGGTGATTATGAGGATAATGAAGAAGCATCATATAAAGAAAATGACTTTAGAGAACTAATTTTAAAAGCTCCATGCAGTCAAGGGTCCATGACAGACAACAAATCTCAAAGCACTTTAAGAAACGAAAAAAGGGACAAAACTTAATTCCTAGTGTCGCAACCGAGATCGCGACGGAACGACAAAAAATAAATTGAAAAAGAGGGAGTTGCCACCAATGTTATTTTTTACGGAAAAACATTGGAAAAACTATAAAATAGAAAATAGTCTACGAAAACCAAATTTTTGGGTTCGGGAGTCGATTACGTGTGAAGAAGGTATTAGCACCTCACAACGTTCGTCATGAGACGATTACCTTTAATTAATTAAACTAATTATTTATAATTTATAAATATTTATCTCACTAAAATGATTAAATATATTTTATTTAACTAATTTAACTAATGCATTAAAAAAAGTTAAAATTATTATTGTTATATAAAAAGGAAAATAATATTTTTTTTATTTTTTGGCTCGACAAGATTTATTTCTTGCTCCTACGTATCTCCATGTGTAATGAAGAATCAGAGTCACGTAGTTCTTTATAGAAAATATTTGTGTGTTGATTAAATTTTACTTTTGTTAAATATAAGATTCTTGAACTGTCTCAGTTCATTCACCCTAAAAATATAAAATTAATTAAGGTGTACACCAAAGTCAATTTAATAAAATTTAATTATAATTATTACTATAAATATTATTATCTTAAAAAATTTCTTGGTTGGACATTTTTGTTTTTGGAGAAAAATTTAAAGATAAGCTGTCACAACTTGCACTTTAAATTCAAAGGTTAAAATGATGTCACATCTAATTAACCATTCCTCCAATAAAAGTTTTGATACAAATACTTCAAATATTTATATTGAATATTCTAATACTATATTTTGAACTTAATCATATTTTAAATTTAAATAAGAATTTAAAATGATAAATAATCCTTTTTTAAAATGACAGATATTATTAATATATAATAATAATAATAATAATAATAATAAAAAGAAGTGAGTTCGATGTACTCACTGTTTTTCGCCCAAGAAGTAGTAACTTGCTGGTCTCTTCCTCTGGGTTCCCTCTGGTCCAAAGTGGAGATGTGTGTGTGTGAGTGCCCTTTGGGAAGGTAAGGGCCGCTATTTATAGACTTTCAGGAGGGACCGGAATAGCCCGTTCTGAATCCGGAACGGCCTGTTCTGAGGTCGCAATTTTACTCACAACGGCCATATTTGGAACGGCCTGTTCCAGTTTCGGAACGGCCCGTTCTGAGATAGAATTTATAGGTATTTTGGTAATTTGAGAACGGCCCGTTCTGGGCTAAAAATTATAGGTTTTTTTTGAAGGTTGGAACGACCCATTCCAGTTTGGGAACGAGCCGTTCCTGTTTTTGGGAACAGCCCGTTCTGGACTAGAATTTATAAGTCTTTTTGGAAGGTTGGAACGACCCATTCTGGGCTAGAAATTTTAGATCTTTTTGGAAGGTTGGAACGACCCGTTCCAGGCTAGAATTTATAGTTATTTTTGGAAGGTTGGAACGGCCCGTTCTAGTTTTGGAACAGCCCGTTCCGGACTAGAAATTATAGGTCTTTTTGGAAGGTTAGAACGGCCCGTTCCAGTTTGGGAATGACCCGTTCCAGTTGTGGGAACAACCCATTCTGAGCTATTAAAATCATATAAAAATTATTAAACTACCCTCCACAAAAGTACGAAAATTGAGGTGTTACATTTGGCTTCCATATTTTGTCTTTTTTATTCTTTCTTGTATATACCTTTTTTGCAATTTTTTTTAACAAAATTAATATTTCCCGGACGAAATTGGGTTACTACAGTTGCCCCTCTTTACTTGATTTTACTAGATAATATAAACAACTCTTATTTTAATATTATCGTAGTAAAATATAAGTAAAGAAAACACCAATTTCGTCTAAGACAAAAGTTGCATGCATTCACTACTTAGAGAAAAGATAGTCACGAGATTTTAGCACAAGTTGGAGAATATAAGATCTAAAAGCAATAAGAATAATAGACACGGGGTTCCAAACTGTTGAGAGTTGAGAGCACGGGGCTCAAAATGTGAAGTAGTGAACTCGGAGATCCAAAGAGTTAAAGAGTTATGAGCGCGAGGACTCAAAATATGAAAATAGTGGACTCGGGGATCCAAAATATTGAGAGATATGAGCGCAGGGACTCAAAATATGAAAATGGTAGACTCGATGATCCAAATTATTGAGAGTTATGAGCGCGGGGACTCAAAATATGAAAATAGTGGACTCAGAGATCCAAAATATTGGGAGTTATGGGCGCGAGGACTCGAAATGTAGAAAATAATGGACTTAGGGATCCAAAATATTGAGAGATATGAGCGTAGGGACTCAAAATATGAAAATGGTAGACTCGATGATCCAAAATATTAAGAGTTATGAGCGTGGAGACTCAAAATATGAAAATAGTGGACTCAGAGATCCAAAATATTGGGAGTTATGAGCGCGGGACTCAAAATATGAAAATAGTGGACTCAGGGATCCAAAATATTGAGAGATATGAGCGCAGGGACTCAAAATATGAAAATGGTGGACTCGATGATCCAAAATATTGAGAGTTATGAGCGCGAGGATTCGTAATGTAGAAAAAGAGAATGAGTGTGGGGGTTTGGAACATTAACAAAATTAGCAAAGAGGCTAGAAACAGTAAAAGAGTGAGTGCGGAGGCTCAAAAGACTAATGGAGTGAGCACAGAAGCTCAAAACATTAAAACATGAGCGCGGGACTTGAAACATAAAAATGTATATGAGCACGAGGGCTCAAACTTAAAACGTGAGCACGGGGGCATGAAACATTAAGACATGAGCGCGAGGGCTCAATCATTAAGACATGAGTGAGTACAGAGGCTCGAAAGATTGATAGAGTGAGCACAGAGATTTGAAACATTAAAACATGAGCGCGGAGACTCGAAAGATTGATAGAGTGAGCACAAAGATTCGAAACATTAAAACATGAGCGTGGGGCCCAAAACAATAAAACATGAGCGCGGGGGCTTGAAACATTAAGACATGAGCGTGGGGGCTTGAAACATTAAGACATGAGTGCGGGGGCTCGAAACAATAAGATATGAGCATAGGGGCTTGATCATTAAGATATGAGCGCGAGGGCTTGATCTTTAAGACATGAGCGCGGGGTCTTGAAACATTAAGACATGAGAGAATGGAAACATCAAGAGAGTGAGCATGGGGGCTCGAAACATTAAAACATGAGCGCATGGAAACATCAAGAGAGTGAGCATAGGGGCTCAAAACATTAAGAGAGTGAGCACGGGGCTCGAAACATTAAGAGAGTGAGCATGGGGGCTCGAAACATTAAGAGAGTGAGCACAGGGGCTCGAAACATTAAAAGAGTGAGCATAGAGGCTCAAGATATAACATGCAATAGGCGTAGAGACCTAAGATGTAAGAAGAGTGAGCGCGGGGACCCGAGATATAAGATGTTTTAGGTGTGGGGGCACGAGTTGTAAGATAGGTGAGCTTGGAGACTCAAGATATAAGATGTTTTAGGCGCGGGGGCACGAGTTGTAAGATGGGTGAGCTTGGAGACTCAAGATATAAGATGTTTTAGGCGTGGGGGCACGAGATGTAAGATGGGTGAGCTTGGAGACTTAAGATATAAGATGTTTTAGCGCGGGGGCACGAGTTGTAAGATGGGTGAGCTCGGAGAATCAAGGTATAAGATGTAATGGATCCAGAGATTTGAGATATGGGAAGAGTGAGTGCGGGGACTCAAGATATAAGATGTAGTTCTTTAAGACCAAAGGGCATCACGTTCCATTCGTATTGCCCAAACGGGACAGTGAAGGTTGTCTTGTAGAGATCACTGGGATTGATTTGGATTTGCCAAAATCCTGATTTCATGTCGAATTTAGAAAAGATCTTTGCCGAATATAATCGGGAAAGAAGATCTTTCTTGTTAGGAATTGGATATCTAATCCATTGAAGGGCTTGATTAAGTGGTTTATAGTTGATGACCAACCTAGGAGCACCACGCTCGATTTCGGAAGCCTTGTTGACATAAAAGGCTGCACAAGACCAGGGACTCTTGCTCTTCCGGATTAAACCTTTGGAAATAAGATCGTTGATCTCCTTTTGACAGTGGATGACAAGTTCATGACTCATCTGGATTGGCCTGGCTTTGGTTGGGATATCTGGACTTCATAGGTGATTAATGAAGAAGACAAGAAATACGTGTATCTTTGGAACCACGTCAAATAAGACAGATATGAAGGTACTCTCTGTAGGTTTGCCATTTACGTGACTATTAGTCATGAGTCTATTTTGATGGGATGGGATACCAAACTGGTAGTACATCATATTTCATGCCATGCCTCGCAATTATCAATTGCCAATTCAAATAAATGATGTCAACTACTTTCCAACAACAATCACTACAAAATATCATTCCACTGAAATTCTTATCCACTCATTTTCATCTCTCTTGTCCAGAACCAAAATCACCTCCAAGCTTTTCTCCATTCTAGCTCTCATTTCTGCACATGGCTGAGGCTTTACTAGGAATTGTCATTGAAAACTTGCGATCTTTTGTCGAACAAGATCTTGCAACGTATTGGGGCGTTGACCAACAGATGCAGAAGCTTTCCAGTCACATGACTGCAATCCGTGGTGTCCTCAAAGATGCGGAGAAAAGGCAAATAACAAGTGAAGCCATGAGGGATTGGGTGCAGAAACTCACAGATGCAGCATATGTGTTGGAGGATATCTTGGATGAATGTTCAATACAATCCAAAAAGGTGCTGTGCGGTGTACAAAATTCATGCTTAACCCGTTTCCATCCTAAGGACATTCTCTTTCGTTCTGATATAGGCAAGAGGATGAAAGACATTGACCAAAGATTTCATGACATTCATGAAGAAAGGAGCATGTTTCAACTAGCCGCTAGTGTCACAGAGAAGCAAGGGGAGGATGATGATAAATGGCGCCAAACTAGCTCTGTCATTATTGAACCAGAAGTATACGGTAGAGACCAAGATAGAGAGCAAATCGTGAAGTTTCTTCTGGAACATGCTAGTGACAGTGAACAACTCTCTGTCTATCCCATAGTTGGTATGGCTGGACTTGGCAAAACAACACTTGTTAAACAGGTCTTCAATGATGATGAGGTAAGCAAACAATTTGACTTGACCGTTTGGGTTTATGTTTCTAATGATTTCAATGTGGAGAGAATATTGCAATCCATCATAGAATCTACCACCAAACAAAACCCCGACCGCAAAACTTTAGAAGCAAAGCATAAAGAGGTTCAAGAAGTGTTGCAGAGTAAGAGGTATTTACTTGTTCTTGATGATGTGTGGAATGAAGACAAAGAGAAATGGAAGGAGTTGAAGGGGACCTTTCAGTGTGCAAGGGGAATAAAGGGTGCTACCGTTCTGGTCACTACGCGACTTGAGAAAGTTGCGTCCATCATGGAAACACACCCTGCTCATCATTTGAAAGGATTATCTGAAGATGACAGTTGGTCATTGTTCAAACATCATGCATTTGGACCAAACAGAGAAGAGAGTGCAGAGCTTTTAGCAATCGGCAAAGAGATAGTGGAGAAATGTGTTGGTTCACCTCTTGCAATCAAAACACTAGGAAGCCTTTTGCACGATAAAACTGAGGTAAGACAGTGGCAGAATGTAAAGGAAAGTGAGTTTTGGAAAATACGGGAGGAAAGTTCTATTACAAGTGAGGAAAATTCTATCATGCGTGCTTTGAAACTGAGTTATTTTAACTTGGAGTTATCATTGAGGAGATGCTTTTCTTTTTGTGCAATTTTTCCTAAAGGTTTTGAAATTGTTAAAGAGGAACTAATTCATCTTTGGATGGCTAATGGATTTATTAAATCTGAAGAAAGTTTAGAAGTGGAGCATGTTGGTAATGAAGTGTGGAAAAAATTATACCGTAGATCATTTTTCCAAGAAGCAAAGACTGCCAATATGTAAAAAGGGTGAGCACAAAGACTCAAGATATAACATGTAATGGATCCAGAGATTTGAGATGTGGGAAGAGTGAGCGCGAGGACTCAAGATATAAGTTGTAATGGGTGCAGGGACCCAATATATAAAAAAGGTGAGCACAGGAACTCAAGATTTTAGAAAATAGTGAACATGGGGACCTGATATGAAAAATAAGTAAGTATCATAATCTAATATGTGAAATATAGTGTTGTAGGTGAGGAGTGTAAAATTGTATGAGAAAAAAGTCTTGAAAGAAAAAGAGCACAAGACTTGAAAACAAATAGACATGAAACTTGAAAAGTGTGTGCAGGAAGCCTTGAAAGGAGATAAAGAGGGAGCTCAAAATCTAATAAGCATGGAGCCTAAAATGTTGTGGGCATAAGGCCTTAAAGAAAAATAAGTATAGACCTCAAAATCGAATAGCTTAGAGCTTGATAAACATCGATAGGGAGCCCCAAAATATTAAGCACAAGAGTAAAAAGACGAATGGTAAGATATATACACTCAAAATGGTGCCTACATGTAGACATTGGGTAAATTTTGCATTTGACTGTAAGTATCAAAAAATGTTAAGCAAGTATTGAATTTGAATGCGACTACAAGATAAGAACTGAACTATGATACAAATCAAGTGGATGCCAATCAAGTATAGGATTTAAATGAATACAAAGTGAGAATTTTGATGGAAAGAATGTTGATGCCAAGTAGATATTAATCTCCAATGAATGTGTTAAACAAGTACATTACTTGATTACATGTGCATGGTAAGTATCAAACTTTGGTACAAATGTTGTGGATGCTAAGCATGTATTGAAACTGAATGCATGAGTCAGAGATAGACCAAACTTTTGATGATGCAAATGACAAGTATGCATTGGGCTTGAATGGATGGGTTAAACAAAGTATTAGACATTAATGTGAATAATGTGGGTGTTGGGAAAATATTGGATTTGAATGGATGTACCAAACTATGATGTAATGAATGTCAAACATGTGCCAAACTCAAACGTATATGATATAGATGTCAGACAAGTGCGAGAATTTATATGCAAGTGATGAATGTGAATGCATGTATTAGGAAAATACCAGACTTTGATGCAAATAAAGTGGATGCCAAGTGAGAATTGGACATGAACGAACACTTCAGACATTTTACTACAAATGATGTAATGCTTGATTCGGTGTTGGGATGCTTATGAGGTATTATTGACAAGTTTCATTTTGTTTCTTTTTTTCTTTTCAAGAAAATCATAAAATGATTATTTTCTTTAGAGAAAGCAAATCCATGCAAAGCCCTTTTTGTGTCTCAATTATTCACCTTTTTATCTTTGTTCAAATTCATGAAATCTTGTTCTTTTCTTCTTTATCAATCATTGAAAAATGATCTCACAATTTATCCTTTCAAGTTTATCCTACCTAGAATCAAGTGAGACTCATTTGGCCTAACTTATCAATTGAACGATTATTACCATCTTGTCATTCCCTTTGAAACATCATTTAACTAACATGCATAACTATGACAAATGATTTATTTTTTTTTGGAAGACTACTCAAAAAGGATATTTGAACGTGACTTTATTTTGATGTAGAGAAAATAGAGCAAACTACACCGAGATATGACAAAAATTGAGAACCTGATGGAAACAAGAGATTGAGAAATTGCCCCAGTTTGATGTCAAATTAATGGAGTGAAAGGTGGAAGAATTTAGACTAACTTGGACTTTGAACAAGTGAGGCAAATGATTTACATCACCTTAGACTCGTGTGAATAGAATCAAACAGTGACACATATGGGAAGGATAACCCGTATTTAGAATGACGGAATATGGGTGATACAGGCATTGACTTGATTAAACTTAAGATACATGAATTATATGGTTGGAATGAAAATGTGATGATAGTTGATAACTTGTTGGTCTTCTGGGCAAGCGCACCCAAGTCTCTGTAGTATAATTAAAAGGTTGTCGATCCTTAGGGACTTGTGAAGTAAGCTTTGTTTTCTATTATACTAGTTGATACTTGTAAATTTAAAACTTAAGTAATTACACACGTTCAAATTTGATGTGAATGATAATTCAAACTTAAGTAACCAAAAGATTAGATTTAATAAAACAGATATGAGAAACAATTTGGGATTAAATTCATCAATCTCCCTCCTATGTATTCCTAATGATTCTATCAAATGATTCCATTACTCATTGCCATTGAGTTCTCTATTTTCATTCAAACCCAATCCCTTGCATAAGAAATTCTGAGATATTTAACTCAATGAATGATTCCTCACTTCATTCAGTTCAATATCCCGCATTAAGAATCAGAACTTGTTGCAACTATTAATTTCAAGACCATCCCTGGCTCTCAAAACTAATAGGTGATTTGTTTCAAGTCTAGATTCAGAAAACGTTTTCCAACCAAATTTTAAATCCAAGATCAAAGATAAATGATCAGTTTATCAAAGCATTAAGAACAGAATACAAATCACTAACATTGAGTAATAGATGATATATATATATATATATATTTGATGACTACATTAATCCCAAACCTAGAGCTTTAGCTCTCCATGGTACAAGAAATCACACAACAACAAGATGAAAGGTAGAAGAAAGAGATCCTCTGAAGAATCGCATCCCCACGAGCTCCAAAGTGCTCTGTTCCTGGTTCCTCTCTATTCTTCTCTTCGTACAGATTGTGATAGCCCCCTTTTCTCTCTCCTCTACCCTTTTATAAGTGCTAGAATTAAAACAGAGTAGGCAGGAAAGAGAAGAATCCGCTCAACACCTTGAAATGGCAGAGCGGTTTGAAGATGAAGTAATCTAAAGAGCTGAGCCATTCAAATCCGCTGAGCACCTTAGAGATTCTTCACTGTTAAGCAAGCACAAGGGGCTAGGCGCTTCATATCCTCTGAGCGCCTAGGAGGCAGAGAGCACTCCTTCTTCCAGGGCCAAATTCGCTCAGTGCCTTAGAGTGGGTGAGCGCCTCTCTTTTGCTGCATTTGTTGAGCTCTCTGGCTTGAGAGCGCTCAGCCATTTCAAGGCGCTCAGCCGTTTGCCTCCAGATTTCAAAAACTACAAAATAAGAGTAAAATCTGATAAAAAACTCATCACTCCATGTAATAATGTAAATTAAGAGCCCCTTTTGATTCTTAATGTATTTGCCAAAATTATATCAATATATACAGAAAGTGTGCTAGATAAGTGTCTCAAATTTAAATTTCATCAAACTAATTAGACACTTATCATAACTCGTCCTGGTATAAAAGGAGTACTTTGAGTTGCCCCAGTTTATGAAGAAATAGGGAACAAAGTTGGATTAGACAATTATTCCAATTGAACGTTAAGGTGATGAGATGACAATGAGATCCTTTGCCCCAGTGTGAAGTAGTTGTCCCAATTTAGTCTTGAAAGGCAGGGGTAGAATAGGAGACAATGATGAATATGATTGCCTTGTTTTCTGACTCAAGGAAATAACATTGATGTATGAATTGATGGAGGAATGAGACATGAAACAAATTTCTCATTTAATTGGGTAAGGGGGAATCAAAGGAAGGCATGAATTGTGATTTGTTTCCAATCTATCCTTTTGAATGATTCTCATAATTATTGAGCATAGTAATCAATGAACATTGATGAATAGAAGATTTTGCACTGGATGATATAATGGATGTGCAAGTCTTATGAGCATTTGTATTATTTTTTTTTGGAGCAATCATGTTAACAATGATAGATGAGTTCAATTGTTTTGTCTTAAGGCTAAACTTTAAAAAACATCAACTAATTTTTTATCTGTATGGACTTTATCAGGTTGTAACATTGGCCGGTGAGATGGATACGAAAGAAAGGATACAAAGGCTCAAATGTGTGTTTGAAGGTTATTTGAAACAAGGATTTTTGCTATAGTGTTGGCTTCAATGCTTTATTCGGTTTCTTTTCCTCGCCCTCTTTTTTTTCACCCCGACTTTTGTCTAGGTTTTTCTTTTGGAGTTTGCAGCCTACCTGGTTGCTCTAACTTTTGCCTAGGCCACCTTTTTGAGGTTTTCAGCCTAGCGAGCTCTTCTTTCTTTTATTTGTTTTCATTTTTCTTTTTGGACCTTAACTTTTGCCTAGGCTGCTCTTTTCGAGTTTTCAGCCTACCAGGTCGTTCTAAATTTTGCCTAAGCTGCCTTTTCAGGTTTTCAGCCTAGCGAGCTTTTTATTTTTGTTATTATTTTATGTTCTCCTTTATGCATAGTATTTCTTAACTACATCAGAGTTTATTGGGTTCAACAGATCTTCCTCATCCATATTTGTGAGAATCAAAGCCCCTCCTGAAAAAGCTTTTTTACCACATAGGGCCCTTCATAATTCGGGGTCCATTTCTTCTATGATCTTTTTGAGGTGGCAATATCTTTTTTAATACTAAATCTCCTTCTTGAAACTCTCGCAGATGAACCTTTTTTTCAAAAGCCCTCTTGATCCTTTTTTGATATAATTGACCCCATGGCATAAGGCATTGAATCTTTTCTCTTCAATGAGGTTCAACTGATTATAGCGAGCCTGAACCCATTCTGCTTCCTCAAGTTTGGTTTCAGCCAATACTCTTAGAGAGAGTATTCAACCTCAATGGGAAGGACTGCTTCCATACCATAAACCGATAAATACGAAATTGCCCCAGTAGAGGTGCGAAAAAAAATGTGATATCCATGTAGAGCGAAAAAAAGCATTTCGTGTCAATCCTTGTAGGTGAGAACCATCTTTTGAATAATCTTTTTAATATTTTTGTTTGCTGCTTCTACTGCCCCATTCATCTTAGGATGACATGGTGAAGAATTATGATGTTGAATCTTGAAATATTCACGCAACTCTTTCATCATCTTGTTGTTCAAGTTGGTCCCATTGTCAGTAATGATACAATTGGGTAACTCATATCTACAAATTAAATCTCTTTTAATGAATTTGACCACCACGTTTCTAGTCACACTAGCATAAGAAGCTACCTTAATCAAT